ATAGCCGTGATATTCAGAAAAACACAAAGCAGGAAGTAATGGCTTCTGGGCTGAATTTCTCAAAGGGGGCTTCAGGCCGTCCTGGGCCAATGACAACCTGGGACCCGCTGGCTTGCTGGGTCTGTAGGAAGAAGGTTGGCCTGGATGTCACTGGCATTGGCTCGAGGTGGGCAGGGACAGCTGTCTCCTGATGGACAGTCTTAACCAAGCTCAGTTGGTTCGTGGAGTTTAAGAAAACTCTTAAGAATGGATTTACACCTATGCATTTACAGAATAAACACTTCTTAAACTGGAAACTGCTTGTTATTTAAGCCTTCTTTAAGCCATGCCTTTCTGTGATAGCATCATTTACTGACTCTCTCCACTTTTTTTATTTTCTTTTTTCAGAGCAACAATGACAGAAAAACCCTCAAATCAATGAACATTCCCATCTCGACAGATACTCAAGCAGCAACACTAACTCATACAACAAAACCACATGACCCTCCCTGATAGTAAATGTGGCATTGCTTTTGACACCAACAAGGTCTAAGATGTAATAAGTATCTTTATTATTATTATTATTATTATTATTATTATTATTATTATTATTATTTTCCTTGATCATGTTCATGGAGCTACACCTGATGTTCGGCATGACACACAGTTTCAGGGATTACAAAGAGAAAAGAGAGAAAAAAACTACAGAAAGAGTGAGAGAAGGTACAATTTATGATGAGTATTGTCTCTTTTATATTTTTACATAAAACAAAATTTGCTTCTACAGTATTTTATATAAATTTCTGGCTAAATATCAGATCTGTTTTGCCTAGCTATAGCCCCATGCATATAGGGTTTATGACCAAATAGTTGCTATAGCTACACATCACATGGACATGTATGTGCCAGGACTCATTGGTAGAAAATCATGGAGAAGTTACATACATAAATGGCTTCACATGTGCATGCTGTTGAACATATTTTCAAATTTCCTGATATATTAACTAGAATATTCCACCGTGGGCCAGATATCTTTTCTCCAAATATCAGCCTCGGTAAGAATATTTGTATATCCTGGGATTAGACCTATCACACTCCCACTGTAAACAATTACAGTCAAATAGTTTTCACCAATCATTTAATAACCAGTTTATATACTTTCCCAATTCCATACAGAGAATTAAATTTGTAGAACATTTCGAACACAGGAAGAAAATCTGCAGAATATTTTGGCAGTGCCTCTTATAGCCTGTCAGAACTCTGTACTGATATCTATTCTTGTAGAACTCTGCACTCCATAGTATCGTCATTGCTGTCCTGAAGAATTACTGAGCACGCATTATCCACTATCATTTGCTCCATGAAAAGAAATTTCCTAAAGAATTAAGAAAGCTGGGATCTATTAGGATTATAGCCACCTACTCAACTGATTATTAGCTCCTACAAAAATGTCCCATGTGAGAAGAGACAGTGAGACAGAGGGAGAGACGACAAGACTACCTGCTCATCCACCATGTTTCCCAGGCTTTGCTGGCTTGATCCTGAATTAATGAGCCTGTTACATGATATCTAATAAAAATGACTGGAGTAGAGATCTTGGAATCTTCCACATATTTGGTCCAAGGCTGAATCAATTTCATCTATACTTAACACATGCTTGTTTTCTGTCTCCCTTGCCTCCCTCACAGCCCATGCCTCACTCTTTTTTTTTTTTTCTCCATCTGGAAAACTTATCGCCTAAAATGCTACCATCAATCAACCAAAGACACTCTTCCCGACAGAGTGTCTGCCAGTTTGACTAAGCACAAGTAGTCACTAGTTTGGGGGTGCCTCCCACACTCTCTAGTGCTGTGTGTTTTTCTAGCCTGCCTAACCACACAAGTGCAATTTGGGATATTTATATTTACCTGCAGTTTCTACTGGGATAATAGCACTACCTTGACACAACCGGGCATAGGGCACGGTCGAGGGTGAAGGGGATGAAATGGAAATTGTCCGTGTTGTCTGTCTACCCACTGTTAACCTTATCTCTCTGGATTTTTGCGTTTCTACCCATTTTGGCTTATGTTGGCTCCGTGCCTGCTCAGAAAGTATGAAAATCACATGCTCCCAAAGGTGCAGACACTTTGTCCCCAAAATCTTCCCTGAGAATGGGCGCTGCTCCCATCTCCCCATTTTTCATGTCAGTACCACTCCCAATACATTCAAGCCTCTACGTTTAAATGCAGCATGAAAGGACGGGGGCAGAAAACAGAGCAAAGGGAGGGTTGGCAGCAGAAGCCAAATGCTGGTAGAAGGGAAGGAAAGAGGGGGAGCAGGAGACAGGCAGCCCCCTCCCACTCCCACAAAGTTCCAGTTGGGAACACACCCACCGGCCGCAGCAAAAGAGCGCGGTGCGTGGGCACAGGTGGGTCCCAGCCCCTCTGGCTGGATGCAGCTTAAGTGCAGCCTGAATGAAGACTTTCATTGCTGTTTGCTGTTTTTGTTGGCCCGTTGCCATGGCAAACATTTGCAGGTGGCTTGGCCAGATTTTGACACTTAAATATTTGAGGTTGTGATAAAAATCAGAATATTACTACAATATGGTTCTGTGCAGCCTCAAAAAAAAAAAAAACTATCTGCAATTTCAAATGCTCATTTAAAGACACAGTCTCCAGAGGGAACTCATGTTTTAAAATAAGTACTCATTTCCTCTTTGCTGAGAGAAATAAAAGAGTCAACCATCCCCAAATGTTACCACCTAGAGTTTCATTCTGAATCCGCTGGCGAGATGGGTTGGGTTGTTCCTTGCTGAGCCCCCACGATCATCCGGGCAAGGTTTTGGATGGGTCACATGGAGAAAATGGAAATGACAGGATGTGTGGGTTGAAATCAACATGGTAAGCATGGCAGGGGAGGTTCCGAAGAAAAGAAACAGCCTCCCTCAAGTCTGGCAATGAGACAGAGGCCTAAAAGTGACAATTATCTCCTAGAACACACCAGGAGGGACACACGACACCCCAGGATTGGGAATAAATGGGAAAATGGAGTGGGTCAGGAGGTCACACGTACCAGAGAAACACCCCCACCCATCTAGGCATAGTGACACAGCTTAGAAATGTCACCCAACTGTACAACCCTGGGCCAGCTGGGTAAATTATTGACAGAGTCAACACCCATCTTAGAATTAATACTAGCCCTTAAAAGATTATTTCATACACACAGACACACACACACACACACACACACACACACACACACACACACACACACCAAAACAAAAAAATACAGCATTGTACTAACAATGGCTGAAGACTAAGGGCCTCCAAGAGGGTAGCTGAAGGTTGGTGGGGGAGAGGCAGGAGAACTCCAGGGGAGAAGGAATGCTGTAAAACTGCTAGTAAACTCTAGCACATTTTATGTTTTTTTTTTCCCCCTTGAAAGAAAAATAAAATAATTATAATTAGCTGGCCTAACTGTGAATTGTCTGCCCAAAGCCAAGCCACTAGAGTGAAGGAGTCCCTTGAAATTTAGATGCTGACTTTAACAAACTCACCCCACCCTCTCGTATATTATAGGTCTTGCTTTAGATGGTGGCAACATTTGCTCCCACAGTCATTTGAGAAGAAAAGAAATCTTTAGCAAGAGGCACTTACTAATTTAGCGTTGGCTTCTTCAAACAAAGCCAAGCATTCAAATGGCCAGATTCATTTTCTGTTTCTTGAATGGGAACCTACAGGTACCCATGGCAGACTCACAAAATTGCCATTGCCCGCGACTCGTTTGTTCAAATGGGTCTTCGCATGTCACAACCCATGCAGTTGAAGGAGGAATGAGCCAGTGCTGTCCCCAGTGCTCACTCTTAGTCTGTAATTCTTACAAGCATTAAAAATAAGGTGGAAAAGACACACGGACAAATTGTGTGACAGCTTCTAAGTTTTCTTTTCATCACCATATCCAATATTCAACTGAATAGTCCACCTAAATTTTGATGCATATACCAAACCCAGCGGGCTCCCTTTCCTGTTTCAAACAGAGAACTCTGGGAATATAGAGCCACCAGTTTTCAGCATCCAATGACATAGATTTATCGTAGCTCTTTGGCTTGGCGTTCTCTTTTCTTCCTAGGAATCTGAATGCTCTTAAATCTTCTGTTTCCTCTTCACTCTACCCATGTGAGGGTGGAAACAGGAGACACCATCCTCATTCTGGAGATAAGGAAGCCGGGCCAGAGATTCTGCATTTCTAAGAAGCTCCTGGGTAATGTCCATGCCACTGACGCTCAGACCACACTCTGAGCAGCGAGGGGCGACACCTGTCACGTGATACTCCGGGGTGAGAGCTCGTTCGACCCCATAAATACAGAGTGGCTGGGACCATTCCACCAGTGTCTCTCAGTGCCTCACTATTGTTTTGTTTATGTGTATGAGAGGGAGAGGGCTTGCCTTCTTTGTTTGTCTATTCCAGGAATGAGTATGGACCAATGCAGGAAGAGGGGAGAGCTAGTAAGGAAGTACTAACAAGGAAGAGAAACAAGGAAAAATGATCAGAGGGAAGGAGGAATGTGGAAATATACAGAAGACACAGGTGACAGGCTTAGCAGATCCTAGGAAGAGCGGGACAGACTCTGTCAGAGAGGAAGCCGGGCTGGTGAAACTCTCTTCCACCATCCTCAAGTGTTTGTCCTACAGTCGTCTTAAAATTCACCCATGGAGTTGCCTTAAAAATAACACCCACGGAGTTGCCTGTAGTCATCTTAAAATTCACAAATCTTATTTGAAGAAACAATGACACAGAGTGACTTGCTTTGCCGCTCCCCCCCCCATTCCCTGCCCCCAAAGTCAAGGTCAAACAGCTTCCACTAAACAGAGACTCCCTCTCCCTTCTCCCATCAAAAACATTACTCTGAGATCTAGGCAGTATCACACCAGCCAGGAAAACCAACTTCTGTCCCATCCAATCTGAGCTCTAGAAACAAGAAGATCCAGAACATTCCCTGAGTTCTAGCCAGGACCCAGAGACAGCAGAGGAGGTCTCCTTACCCGATCTGGCGGTTGGTAGAAGGTGCCTGTGTGATGACAGAGCTGGACTGGGGTGACGGCATGGCTTGCTGAATCACAACGCTGGTGTCATGGTTGGGCATCCGGGTGCTGCCAAGCTGGTGAGCTCCGGGCCCCGCCATGGCCCCACCAACTGTATTATGCATCGAGATATTCTGCCCAGAGAAGACAGAGAGGAAAGGTCAGAAGAAGTCAATGTTGTATTCTATTCTCAAGCTCTCAAAGGCCAAAATTGGGAATCTGGTCATGTCAACTAAATAAAGAGTTATGGCTTCTGGCAAGCCATGGGTCCATTCATCTTGTTATAACTTACAGCTATGAGAAGATGAAAAATAACTATTCACCCTTAGACTAAAGCACAAAAGGAAATCCCTTAAAGTTCACTGATCATTCTGCCACCATCCTGATGTGAGGTTTACATCAGGGGTGTTTAGCGCATATCTTCTCTGACTTGATATGATATATACTACATTTGAAAATGATTTCTGCCGTAAGTGCATAATATCGTGATTTAGTGAAGAGCCACTTGGCATTCTGCTTTCAATGACAAGCACACTGGGTTGGTTTGTTTGTTTCTTTTTCTTTTTCAGTCCTATAAGAGTGACCAACCACTATTCTTTCCCCAGGAAACTACCACTTTTCCAAATCATAATCTGGGTACTCATGACCGAAGTCCAATAACCTGGGGAATGAGGATGGATGATTGGAACACACGACAGGGTGTCTGAGATCCAATGACATAAGAGCAAGAGTTGCAACTTTCTGCTATATTCCCACAAAATCAATCCATAACAATTCTATGGAATCATGGAATACAGAATAATGTATGATTGTCTGCTTGCTTGCCCATTGTCTGTTCATCTAGAATGTAAAATGTTTGTGTTCACAGCTCTATCCCCTGGTGCTTGGAGCACAGTAGGCATTCAGTAAACATGTACTTTATGAATAAATGAGTGACAGGAACAAATGAGACAACTATGTCACTTCATGCCTTTACTTCTGATGGCTTGAATGAAGGCCTCTTTGTTTAAAATTCAGAAGTAAGGTACAATACTCAAGACAAAGCTGGCTTAAAAGAGCAATGGAAGTCACTGGGACAGGAGAAAATTCACAATGAAGCCAAAGAGGGCCGATCAACATGGTGGGACCGATATGTGAAAAACTCAGAATGTAGAAAAGAAAAAGAAAACACAGGGCAAAGCAAATTAAGTGAGCGGGCCTCTGTAAGCCACTCGGTACAGCGCTTCAGCCTAGGAGACCAGGGAAATTCGAGAGGTCAGTTGGACAACGGGTTGAGGATGGCAGGAAAGAAATGAAGTGTCACCAGCAATTTACTAGAGGAAAAAATATATATATCTGTCTGCGCTTTGGGGTTAGCAACGAACAAAATAAATCTTACCCAGGAGAACTAGAAGTGGTTCTTTGAAGTTCTTCTGCAAAGCACAGGATTTCCTGCACTACGTGTTAAAGGATGGTGATAACATGTATGGTATTCGGGGTGGTTGTATCCATCACACTGCACCTTTCCCAGGTTTCTGATTTCTAACTCCTGACCACACAGTTTGTCAGGAGTCCAGATGGAAACTGGGCACCTGGCTTAGACATGAGCCGACTGCGTTGTCGTGGGCTCCCCAAGGCATGAGCAGGCTTATACATACACACACGGCCCAAAAGCTCCTTGTATATACTGGAAGGCTGTTCTGATGTGGGGAAATAAAGTGGTTGGTTAAAGGAAGATGAAAGGAAGTGGTGATTTGTATTGGAGTGTCAGTGCGGGGGGATACGCTTGAGTTCTTTTTTATGGGATCTAGAGGCACAGAGCATGGAACTAAAAATAACGAAAATAAAAATAATTGTGTTATTTCTTTTGAAAGTGAAACATAACAAACTTACTTCCCCAGGTCTTAAAACAAGGTCTTGATAAAGTAAACAAGTACAAGTGTTATTTGTTCCATTGTTGGAATCCTCAAAGACACTCAAAATTTTTCATCTTGCTCATAGTCACCTACTTTGTCAATAATAGCCCGACTCCCTTTTTAGAATTATTTCTGTCGTGCTATGCTGCCAAAGGTTATCAATCAAGTTGTACAATTTAATGTTTAAAATAATAATCTTTAAATTCATAAACAAGAATATAAGATCTATGTGCCCTCCTTGAGTTGCCCTTGACACCTCTTTTCTATCACCCCCATGTGCAGTCCCCAAATACCACAAAATCAACTTAAGCATCTTCATCTCTTTCTGTCTTCCCATCTCTCCTGCCACCAGCCTACACTCAACCACCACCATCGCCTTTCCTGGACTAGACAGTGGTCTCCTAACTGGTCTCCTGTCACTCACTCTGGTTTCTCTTCCTCTTCTATACTACAGCCGCAGTGATCTTCTCAAAAGGCAAAACTGATCATGTCTACACAACTTCCCCTCCACCCCCACTCCCAACCCCACTTCTAGGATGGCTTCCCATGATTTAGAAGACACTGGCAGCACTCTTCATATGATCTCCAAGGCCTGTATGGGACCCCTCTCACATCCCCAGCTCATCTCACGCCACCATCACTCTTGTTCTCTGTGATTTATTCCACCTTGCTGGAATTTTCCTGCCCTCAAACTGACTATGCTCCATTTCAGCAAGGGACCTTGGAAAATGCTCTTTTTTGTTACCTGTGCTCTTCCCCTGACTACGCCTTCACAAATCAGATCAAGCATCTCGTGAGGAAGCCTTCATTGACCTCTCCAATGATGGGTACCACCTCCCTCTCTTCTGTAGTACTTTCCACAAATTTACAACGGTTTTCGGTTATTTCATTACTATCTGTTCCTTCCTCTAGAATATAAGCACAATGAGAGAAGGGACTAAATCTGACCCTTACCCCACATTGTGTCTCCATGGCCTAGGTCAGTGCCTGGCATAGAGTGGGTAGTCAGTAAATATTGAGTGAATGAATAAAACATAAAATAACATCTCTAGAACATTCAGTATGAGGAAATCTTATCTTTTATTCTGTCAATTTTCCAGAGTGCTAACTTCTTGTCTACTTACCTTGAAATCTCAAAGTATGTTCACAATAATAGAGTTTTAGCTATTAAGGTACTTATTTGATTACAAGCTCGAGAAATAGAGGGGATCAGGATTAAGAAGAAAGTCATGGACATGTCATGTAGATTAGAAAGTAAAGCCTTTGATAAAATATTAAATGAGCCCTTGGAGAGAGGTACCAAGAGGTGAGCTTCAAGCTTTGACCACTTTGTTCAAATGATGGTGACAACCATTCTTTATCTCCACTATGAAAACCAACAAAAACTGACTTGTGCTGCAGCACAAATAAATTGGTTTCATTTCTTCAGAGTAAAGCATGGTAAATGAGAGAAAGAAGCATGTCTCTCCCCACCCAAAAAGTTTAAGAATCTTCTCTGAGGACCATTAAAAAGAATAAAAAAGACTATCTAGGAAAATACTTCCCACCCTCCCCACCAACATTTTTAAGACCTCTCTTTGTATCAGTGACCGCCTCCACAGATCGAGAAGGTGTCTGAAAGTTATATTCTAATTCTTCAATCATCTCCTTTCTCCCCAACACATGAAATCTGCAAATTCTCCAGCCACCTTCCCCCACACCCAGAGAGTAATTTCAAAACATTGTGAAAAAATAAACAACTAAGCAAGCGTTATTATTTCATGTTAAGAGGAGACAATTTTTTTTTCTCTTGAAGCATTACATAGTAACTCAAACACGAAATTATTTTCTGAGTTCACATTTTCCCAATTATGGGTTCAAAACCTGTCTTTATGGATAAAAGAATGGCACTTTACCTCCAGATAAATTAAATATCCAATTTCAAAAACATAAAGAATGACTCCATCTTGCTGTAATTTCTTCTAGATAGGTGTATAGATTTGAAGCTGGTGAAACAATGTCACAAAACCAGTGCATGAACGTCAATATGCCAGGAAGGATTAGGGGTGTTCCTCCAGGTTCAGCCTTTGGCCTTTTCTTGTTCAACACTTTTATCAACAGCTTGGATGAAGATGTAAAAATTGTGCTTGTCAACTCTGTGGTTGACACATGTTGGGAGGCATAGCTAATGTTCTGGATAGTAGACTCAGGTTTTACTTGAGCCAACTGTGTGATCTGGCCTCCAAAAATGCTAACATAAATCTAGGTTATGGTAAGAGAAGTGCAATGTCCAGATCAAGGGAAGTAATTACTCCACTGTAGAGCACGTTGAATTGACCACATTTGGCCACCACATTTTAAGGGGGAAATTGACAAATAAGAGGATATGAAAGCAATGAAGACATCCAAAATGCATCACAGGAAGAAAGGTAGAAGAATCATGGAATATTTAGTCTTAAAAAGAGAAGACTTAGAGGGTCATGCTAACTGCCTTCAAATATTTGTAAGATTATACATAGTCTCTGTTGCTCCAGCAGTCATAATTTCAAAAACTGGGATCATAATGCTACAAGCCAGTAATAACTATAATGCGAGGACCTATTTTGAAGCAGCCACTATGGTAGAGGCTTTATAAACTGCAACTCTAATCCTCACAATGACCCTAAAAAAGAAGGCATTATTATCTTCATTTTAAGATGAGAAAAAGAGTAAAACTCCGCACCATCCCTAATGCCATGCCATTCACCTTTGGCCTCCCTCACTCCTTCTGGACTGATACTCTAAAAATATGAATTTAGCCTTTTGTTGGGATAAATGTACCAACATGTAGAGATATCCAAAGACAAAACAAGCTGCCTTGTAAAGTACTGGGCTTCTGGTATCAGAGTTAAGCCAGTAGAGGCTACCGGTCATCCATCAAGAATGTCACCAAGAGGACTCTTGCATCAGGAGGGAGATGGCACTAGATGGCCTCAAAGATCTCTTTTATTGCTCAGACTCTCTTGTTTATGATACATGGTTCATACTTTGACTCAAATGATTAGTAAATACGTGATAATGTTGAAAATATACTGGCATAGGCGTTAGGAGGTCCCTTTTGAGTGCAGTCTCTTTACCCCTCCTTGGAGCCATGTAACCCGGATAAATAATTCAACTCTCCTGGCTCCGGAGCCTCACTGATAAAAGCAGGGGTTGGACCACTTGGTCTCCATGAGCTTTTCCAGCTCTGGTACTCCATAAGTCTCTTTCTGTGTTACATT